GCCACCATGCTAGATAAAACTTCTATAAGGCACCTGAGAGAGAGAGGGGGAGAGAGAGAACACCTCCAGAGAGCAGCCTGCTGATAGAGCCTACTTCTGACAATATGGTGAGTGTCATTTTAAAATACCATGAGAAATATGATGTGGTGATCAAGGACTTCCTGCTTTAAGAGTTTCATGTAGCAGGGTAACTAGACAAAAAATGTAGTTCCCAGGGTGAAAATTATATTAACAAAGAATTAGTAATAAAGCTGAATAAATGTAATGAGATGTGAAAGAGAGAGCATAGCACGTTTTTTTCTGTCTTTCATAATTAGGCCCAGAAAGAAATGGAAATTCAGACAAAACACCTTCATTACCAGTTTAAATATTACAAATTAAAATGTGTTGTTATTGGATGGCTGTGTTTTTTTCCCCTTCTTCTCCTCCCCCCCACCCCAAGAGCTGATGACACTTCCCCAGGCATAGGTTGATGGTAGTGTTTAAGGGGAAAATTTCTTTTTGCTAAATAATTATTAGCTGCCTCCTTTTAAATTTGCAGTAATTTAGTTCTATCTTTGTTGGAATCTTCCTCCCCTTTCTTTTACTAAAATGATTGTTACCCAAACTCTGCTGAGAGTCTACACACTACAGGGGTGGCCTGGATCTCCCCTTTTGTTATTCCCAAAAGCTATGTATCATATTTATTAAGTTGCATACATTTCTACCATAAGTTGGACAAAATAAATGCTAACTGGGACCAATTTATTCCACAACAAAATTCCATTCTCTTTTGGCCACAGTTGTAATCCAGAACATCAAACAGCTGTTCTCCCATGCTAGCTAAACCGGTCTGAAACTGTTTTTAGTTGGCTTTTACTAGTAAGTATTGAATGAAACAAGAAACCAGACAGTTTTATGGATCTGTGCCAACCAATTAATCCTGTTCATTTATTAATGACATACGAAATGTAAAAGTAACTTTATTTTATCAACTTTTTTCTTTCTACAGTTTATGAGTCCTTGGGTTAAACATTCAATAATTTCCAGTTCCATTCTGTATCCCAATATGCCATTTTGTTGCAGAACATAAAAATCCTTCCTAACATTAAAGCCACCAGTAGCACTTTAAAAACAAATTATACAATGGGTGCTATGTTGCTAAGGCAGGCCTAACTCCATAGCTTATGAACCACTAATAAATATTAACATTGAACCTACCGTTATCTATATTGTCTGCAAAAGGACACATATCACAAATATAAATCTTCAGTTTTAGGGTTTGGTTTGTCAAAGGGATTTAAGGACATCAGGTGTCATCCTATAAACATACATAACATCTCAAACAAAAGTTTAGCAGAAATGGACACTTAATCAAAATTCTGCATCTTTGTGCATATGCCTGCCAAAAAGAGGGCTCAGTTCTGTGGTCTATTGGATCAGCTTTTCACTAAGATGAATTAAAGTGAGTGGATCCCACCAATGAATGTTTCCTTTATATCATTCTGATTTAGGCCTCATGTCCACAGGTGACAGGGTCTGAAGTAGGACTTCTTTATACCCTGGCAATCTTCTGTTGCACCAACAGCTTCTATGGGCTATTGGCAACCAGCATAATGTGGAACAGACCTGAGGGCTTTAAACTACACCTTGGTCTAAGCTACAATAGAGGGAGTTCCAGATAAGGGAATGGGGTGCAAAGACCTTCTGCCTTCACAATTTTACTGAGTGCCCTTTGGGCACAGCTGGGTATTTGGCCAGTGATTTGTTTGCCATTTTATACTATTTTTCAAAGACTCAAAAGTATAATGAAATTTACTTTTTAATGTGACTTGTAGTAGAAAAATTAATGCCCAGGTTGTCACTGCTGCACTTACAAGAATGTGTGAGCAGCCTTTCCCTATTCTCTTTGCACCATTTCATCTTCAGTATTGGTCTTAGTGTTTCCTGAGTGCAGACAATTGGGGCATCTTTACACATGCTTCAGGGTGGGGGGAGGGGCTTTAATTAGAGAAGTTTCAAGAGCTGCTCTAATTAAAGTGCCCACTGTGTTATGTGTATTCAGCACCCCACTCTTCAAAATGGCGGCAGGGACAATTTAACTAAAGCTTGTCCGATGAGCTTTAATTAAAGTGTCCTGCTGCCATTTTGAAGTGCAGGCACGCTTAATATCTGTGATACGGAGGCTGCTGGAGCGTGCTAATTAACACATTCCAGCAGACTCAATTAATTGAGCCTGCTCTGATGTGTGCTAATTAGCATGTGTCAGAGCAGATATCCGTCCTGTGTATAAGTGCCCTGGGTGACTAGCACCAAAAGATTGGAAACATGAGTTGCAGGGCTATGAACCTACTCCCATTCTGACTGACAGACAGATTTAGGCCCACATCAAATGGATTGCAAATATGTAGGCGCTGGTGCATCTTAGGACATTGACTCTCTTTGACACTACAATTAAGTTTCTTGGTAGGGCATTTTATACACTGCCACAGCCGCTTCTGGGCTATATGTTTTATAGAGAATGTGTAGTCTTATACATGTACGACTGCATATAGTATGGTCTCTGCACCTGATCTGACATGTTAATTTAGGATTATAGTGTTGTACTTTGTTATGGAATCATTTACCATTTTAAAGCAATTGTCTGAGCTACCACAGCTGCTTGGAGGCCTTCGGAAGGGAAGTAAAACCTATCTGGCAAGAATTTCACAAATAGGAAGTCGAGAATCACCTAAATTTAAATTTGGAGAATCTTGCAATCTCCTCTTATTTGTGACCATTTCTGCACTTGCAACCCCTTATGGGTCTGTGCTTGTGGATATTTTTCCATTACCTCAGTTTTTCCTGATATTGTATTCATGACCAATTAATCATTTTGGGCTTAGACATCTTGAAAATCTCTTGGCATCACACATGGCTGGTAAATTCTATCAAGCTTCTGTGTGTCTTACAATACAAAGCTGTTCCCAAATATAAAACATAATAGTTGAAAACAAGGTGATTGAGGAAAATACTTTTATGGAAGTTAATTACAGGAGGCATTAGTTTGGAGGAAAGGGGGAGCATCGTTTAATATTCTGTCTCATGAATGAAGCTCTCTGAGCCTTGGACGGAGTTGAGGACCACATTAGACTCTTTCAACAATGGCAGAGAATAGGTCCAAGAAGGGACAGACAAGAGAGTCAGTGCTGGGACTGAGGTGTCATGAACCCCATTATGTTTTGGGGGCTGGCAGTTTGTCATGAGTGTTTTCTTGTACTGATATGGCATGTGTGGTCTCGTTGGTCATGTTATGCTGAATCTATTTATGTTACTCTTATTGCTTTATAGATTGTGTCATGCTGTCTATATATATCTTGATAATTTTGGATATGGTTCAGCTACAGGAGTGAGGCATGCATACTAAAAACAATTACCCCTCCCAGAAGCAGGTGAAAGGAGTCGTTATTAGGTTGGGCACCCCAAGGCATTGTCTGTTTGTGATGTGAAATCAACTCCTTTATAGCAAAGACATCTGAGAGGAATGGCCCATCAGGTCAGATGAATGGCCGGTTGGCCAGAAACTTCTGGAAAGTTCTGGTATATAATGAACAATTACAATTATGCTGATGGGGGAGGGTTGACTTTGGATGCTTTTTAGGAACCAGCAAAGGTAAAACCAGTGCCTGAATGTCATGTTTTGGGGGTTCAGTGATAATAGCTGCCAGGACTGCTAAAATCAGCAGGAAGGCTAATCTCTAAAAATGCTGGCAGGTTTCTCAGGAGGGCTGAGCTGTAAGCAAATTAGAGGGTAAGAGACTTTATTTGTCTTTCTGTTTTGTCTTCAAACTTATGGTCAGTTTTTTTCTGTAATTCTTTTCTTCTATGTAATAAATCCTTTTGTTGTTTGTCTCCTTACTGATTGCCTGTGGAAAGAATGATTCCTGGGCAACAGGGATTGTAGAAAATTATTTGTTACAGAAATACGAACATTTTTATTCCATTAAAAATGTTATTGACCAGTAGGAATACTTCCTGATTTGTTGGAAACATCCACCTTGCTTCCTTGTCTTCCAAGGAAAAAATAATTTACAAAAATAAAAGGGAAGTCAACCCCCCCTAGCCAATAATGTCTTTTATAGGTTCTTTGTGAAATAAATTGTATCTTTCAATCGGATACAATTTTCAAGGTCACTAATGTGAAGTACGGTGATTTCAATTAAGCAGGAGGGCACATAGGAAGAACATGGCAATGATCTATTCAAAGCAGTAATCAGAGTATGTTGTCATGGTAACTGTTTCTGGACTTAAAACAAAGGGGCATATGTGGGCCAGGTAGACCACTTTTCTGGTTGGGAACAAGGTGCATAATTGCCACCTGGTATCTGCTAACAACTTCAAATTTGAAACTTGAGGAAAATATACTGGTAGTTATAACTTGATGACACATAGGCCGTGAACCTGCAAAAAGCTTTATTTCTGAACATCTGTGTGAAGAGATGCATGATGCGGGTTCACCATTACCTTTCTTTTTTGACTTTTTGAGGCCATAATTTATTAACCTTATTGCATATTAGAAGTAGCTTTTTGTATGGAATTTCTTTGGTTATTTTAAAAGTACAGGAAACAAATGATATTTTCCTCACCTTTTAGAGTTGTTCCACTTTTCAAATTAAAGTTGCATTGACGCTATGTTTTATGGAATAATGACTGTGCATACCTTTACATTGAGAAAAAGGTATTTAAACCCTGGCATCTTCATAAGCTAAACATTATAAAATTAACTTATATGTATATGTTAACTGAGCTATAAGCCCATAATACTTCTATGGGTCCGTTAACATGAATAAATATTTATTTTATAATGTTTTAAATAATAAAGCATTTAATAAGAATGCGTTAAAAATGGGGGCTAAGTCTAATGTTCTCAAACTCAACATCTTTTTCATATTTACAAACAGCAAATACATATAACTTAAAATCCAACTATCTTATTATTAACTGTTTACAATAAACAATTGAACTGATTTTTCTCAAACATGGATTACTGCTGTGAGATCTCCATTATCTATAAAACAATCCAAGCTGGAATGGAATTACCAAGAAAGTGATTAAATATCTGATTAACACGTATATCTTTTTGCATGTG